GATAGTAAAGTTACCTAGAATCAAAGATGAATCGAAGTTGAACGAAGAAGAACCGCAAAAGGGTGCTTGAACTAGAGACCTGAGAATCAAAATCGACCAAGTAACCAAATTAGGGTTTCGACTATACCCTCAAAACCGAAATTCAAGAGTCAAACTGGCTCAAATTGAAGTCATGAAGAATGAAGCTTACGTGAAACCTAACCAAGAATCCGGATTCAGTTGCAACCCATGTCGTGAGTGTTCTTCAAGACCCGAGTGAAAGCCCTAAACTCCCAAATTGAGGCTTCAAGAACCAAGATAAAGCCCTAACTCTCAAATGAAAGAAAAACTTGAAGAAGTTGAGGGATTTTAGGAGAAAGAGGAAGAGAACCGTTCTTAAGGAAATGGCTCGGAGAAAATTTTTGAAACGACGAAGAAGAGAAGATGGAGAAGACGAGTTTTTTTAAAAAGATACTTGGACTGAACCAAACCTAGTTCGAACCGCCTGAACCAAGCTAAGCCAGACCGAACCAAATCTAGAAGTCGACCCAAGAACTTCTGTGCTGACTCGTACCCATGCGAGTCACCAAATGGTGACTCGCACACGTGCGAACCACTATTTACTGACTCACACATTTGGTGACTCGCACACGTGCGAACCACTATTTACTGACTCGCATGTGTGATGAGCTGTTTGGCCTATTTACGGGTATTTTGACCCATTTTTGAGTATTTTCGATGTATACGGGACCCGTATCCCTACTTCGATGGGTATATGAGTCTAAACTATTACTTACCCTTATCAGGAAGTTTTTGGAGAATATCATTCAGGATATCCTTAAGGATAACCCGACAAAACTCTAGTTAATGTACGAGTATAAACTGTGTTAATGCCGGTCAACACGTCGATAACTTCGCCAAAATAAAGCTAAGGGAAATTATGGAGTTCAACTACATCCAGATATGAATTCCTGACAAAGATGATTAGTTCAAAGTCAACTTGATTGCACGGGCTAAGTTCAGAAAATTACACACTAGTCTTAGTTCAAGACTTTAACAGCGGTCAGACGATAAACGCAGAACCGAAAGAACTTCATCTATTCAACAAAATACTGAGTAGATTGAAGACTAAAGAAGCTGAGAACTAGAACCAATTACAGGTCCTATCATACCGACTGAAGGTTGGGCCTATCAAAGACTAAAGAAGCTGAGAACTAGAACCAATTACAGGTCCTATCATACCGACTGAAGGTTGGGCCTATCATATCCAAAGTATTCCAGACTCTTTAACCAATTACAGGTCCTATCATACCGACTGAAGGTTGGGCCTATCATATCCAAAGTATTCCAGACTCTTTTATAAAAGAAACGAGATTGAAACACTTTTAAGGGGGTATCTGTAGGCATCAAATATTACCTATAAGTTCCCACACGCAGCTCAAGACAAAAAGAACATGATGAACGACATCACCCGAGTCAAAGAAGATTATTTGATGCTGGTAGATCGCATGAAGTGAATTGGTAAAGCGCATAAGTCAACAAAGTGATGAAACACGCGTAAAGGGGGAAAACAAGCAAACCAAAGGAAATACAAATAGCCAAAAGGGTCAAAAAGACACAAAAACAAGCCAGGAGGCTCGCACGTATGCGAGTCACCAAATGGTGGCTCGTACGCATGCAAGTCACCAAATGGTGACTCGCACCTGCGCGAGTCACCAAATGGTGACCCGCACCCATGCGAGTCACCAAATGGTGGCTCGCACAGCTCTGAGACACCATGACGTATTTGGCCTCCCAAATCACTGATTTCGATGTTTTATTATAATTCTTTCGTCTCAGGATCTCCCCAACTATTCTGAAGCTATTCTTAATTGCGCATGGGCGGTTATCAACTACAGATGACGTCAAAACACTTAATCTTATCAGAAAATGTGACGGCAATAGCCTATAAATAGAATCGTAGGGTCTTTATTTTGAGAAGATCTGAAATCTGAGGGCGAGGTGCTATCCAATTGAACAGTAGACCATGAATTTTAGAGAAGAATTGACAGATCTTGGCAAACTTTTTCATAAAGAAAAAGCCTTCGAAAGATTTGAGATTCTCTCCCCCTCTTTTCTCCAGATCAAACCTGGTTTTGATCTCGAGAAGAGCCACAATCTCGCTTGGTCGTGATTGTCGCTGCTACGATTGTTTCTTTCGTGAAGCAAGAGCATAATTATACTTATCAATCGGATCTGATCCACAGCGGTCCACAGACTAATGCGTCCCTGGTACAGGCAAAGATCCCACACAAAGCAACAGTAGATAAACTACTGCTGCGTTTTGTTTCATAAAGTTGTGAACGGTGTAACAGGTTTGACGACAATGGAAAATTCAACTTTTGACGAAAACACCTATCATGAGTCGACTCACGAAACCTAGCTGTTTTGTCAGAAGTTTCTGACTAGTCGACTCATGACTATCTTGAGTCGACCTATCTGTCATGAGTCGACTCATATATGCACATGAGTCGACTCATCGATGGTTTCCTGGTTCGTTTGGGTTTCTGTTTGCACGAATTCTTATGGGGTTTGGGTTTGGTTATTTACCTCTTTACCATCCACGTTGTTATACCTATGTAAGGGATTGTTTTAGAGTTTCTAATCAATCAGATGTAATAAAAAAAGAGATTCTAATCAAGAGAGATTAGGGTTTGGAGAGAATTGAGAGTTTGTTCTCGATTCTAGTGAGATTGTGAGAGAGGGATTGTAATCTTTTTATATCATAATCTAGAGAGGGTATTTTCCTTCACCACATACTGAATTATTATTGTGTTTCTGTCATCCTCTTCTCAACCCACCTTTGATAATTTCGTGATCAAAGGTGCTTGCATGGTGACTCGTATCAAGTTGGTATTAGAACAATCAGATCCTATGAAGGGGACATCCTGTATATGGTCCTGACTCGATCGTAATACAAGAAGTTAGGCGAGATCCTTATTTCATTGGAAGGGGTCTAGAAATTAAGGAAAGAGAAGATGACTGAAGGGGATAATTCAGTAAGACTAGATGCATTGGAGAAACAGATGGAGATAATGAGTTCGACTCTCACACAGCTCGTCGCTATCTTTCAAGAAAAGGACAAAAAGGAGGAATCTTCTTCGAAAGGCAAGAAGAAACTTATGGAGTCTGATGGAGAAGGCGAGGAACTTGATTCTGATAGGGAGGCCGAGATTATCAAAACTGTTCCGCATCAAGAGGGTAAAAATTACTACCAAAATTTGAAAATTGATTTCAAGGTGGAGATTCTTGTTTATGATGGGAGTGTTAATGTGGAGAGGCTCGATGATTGGATCGAGCGTATGGAGATGTATTTCACTCTCTATGGATATTCATCCAAGGAGAAGATTGTGTTCGTGACTTTAAAGCTTTCAGAGCATGCGTTGACGTGGTGGAAATCCTACTGCAAGTAGGAGAAGAAGGCAGAATCATGGAACAAGTTTAAGGAGCTACTGAGAAAGTAGTTCTATCCAGTGGGGTTCCTTGAGGAGCGTTGGTACAAGTGGTACGGCTTGCGCCAAAGAGTCAATCAGACCGTTCAAGAGTACACAACGGAGTTCCAGCAGTAGGCAATGGTTCTAAACATCACGATGGACGAATACTCCATCTTCATGAAGTACATGGCGGGTCTGAACGAATACATCCGCAAGGAGATAAAGCTATTCATGATCGAGTCTATTGCAGAGGTAAGCATGAAAGCTATTGCCATTGAGGGCAAGCAAAAGAAGAGTAACGAGGCAAAAGGAGATGCAAAACAGATGGGAGGTGAGTCTAGTGGTTCTAAACATAAAGAGGAGAAGCATGGTGATCCAGGGAGAGCAGAACTTATTTACAGTCACTGTGAGAAGACTGGACATATCAATGATCGATACTGGGAGAAGTATCATCATCTGAAGCCAAAGGGGTTGAAGAAGAAAGAGGAGAAAAAGGCATACGTGATAGCACATGGTTCGAAGGAAGTTCCTAGGATGACAGAGCCTAACAGTAGTCTCAATCTTATAGTAGGAAAACATGTCACGAAAGAGGACGAAGACCCCCCGAGAGCAGCTCTTTATGCTAAATTTGTAAGTAAATACCAGTTTGGTTGATGCCATTGTTGATCCAGGCAACGAAAAGAATTTGATATCCGAGGCCTTGGTTCAGAAGATAGGTTTGAAGACAGTCAAGCATCCGAAACCCTATCCATTGGGGTGGATTCAGAAGGAGACGGGACTAAGTGTAGTTGATCAATGCACTATCAAATTTGTGCTCCATGAGTCGTATATTGATGAGATCACATGCGACATCATTCCATTGGATGTTTTTTAAGTTATACTAGGGAATCCATACTTGTGGGATAGATACGCGATCTACGAAAGGCGGGCTCAGAAGTACACATTCACCAAGGATGGTGCACTACAACAAAACTATTTTTTTATAGCGTTGAATGATAGCGTTTATGTTGTAAGTGCTATAGATCATACATGCCTTATTTTTTGATAGCGTTTGGAAATTTTTAAACGCTGTGAGTTGTATATTTTTTACGACCCTTCTTTATTCATCAGCATGGCCAAAAATTCATTTGTTCCCGCCTCCGATCCTCAACCCAAGCCCCCTAACCCTAACCCTAACCCTAACCCCACCAAGGATCCGATCTTTTTCCATCTCATCCCTCAAAACCCCCTCTTCCCCTCTCGATTCAATCAGCCCCTTCAACCCTAACCCTAACCTTAGCTTCCCATTCGAACCCTGCCGCCAAGAAAACCTACATCTTCCGCGTCTATGCAGACTCCAAGCCCTCGATCTTCCCCTCCCACTCGCACTGGTACTCCTCGCTCGCCGCCTCCTCCTCCAATGAGGAGGAACCCGGCCACGTGCTGCATGTGTACGACACCGTCTTCCACGGCTTCTCGGCCTCCCTGCCCCCCTCCAGAGTGGTATGCGGCTCTCAGAGCGGACGACCCTCCGTCCATTGCCTTCTTCGAAGGAGCCTGTCACGCCGAGACGCTCCACACGACCCGGTCCCCCTAGTTCCTGGGCCTGAGGAACCAGCAGGGCCTATGGTCAACCTCCGACTACGGCTCCAACGTCGTCATCGCCGTCCATATGTAAAGATGTTGCCGATACGACTTATGCTCTCTTGAACGTAAGCAATCAGTGCTCATACTTGTTGGCGTATGTAAAGATGTTGGCTTAGTTAGAACCCTGAATTTGATAGCCATACGGTCTGGCTTTGAGAAATTTGCTAGAGTTTCAAAGCTCAAATCTTTATTTTTATTGCATTTATAGTCTACTTTGTTGTTTGCATTGGCTAATGTGGAATGTTCATAGTTTTAATTATCAAGAGTTGACGAGTAATCGACTCTTCAACAAATTTCTTAAAAAGATAGTGATTAGTTTTGATCCATTCGCTTATTAAGTACTATGAGAATTGTCTACAATTGGTTACTGATTCTGAATCAAACTTAGTGACACTGAATCGTATACTGTTTATGTGATCAAGTTAGGCAGTCGTCAAGAATGAAGTTAAGGCTTTGCTATCGGTTCAAAGTAGCAGACATTTTAGAATAATTGACCTCGCAGACTTAAACACAAATCTTTAAAATATAACAAAATATATGGAGAGAAAAGCAAAAGAATCACTAAAATCTTGAGATGTTGAGTATCCCAGATTCCAAATATTTCTTGTACAGATTCCTCAATCACATAAGAGTGCACTTGTTATGCATGCTTAACGAGTCACTTTATTTAACACCCTTATACATCTGAGGTCTTCTTTTATGTTTTGATCTTGTTGAAGAATTCAAATGTTATTTGAAATATAGTAGTCTCACTTTCTTTGGAACAATTCGCATTATTAGCTAATTGGGAGTTTTTTTGTCTTGAGCAGAATCTGCTGGGTAATCCAAGATGCTCTTTGCTTGTTGCAAAGGATCCCGAAGATAGAACTGATACGGTGATCACATCATATGGAGATGCTATTTCTGTATGTAAATGTCATCTATCTCCTGGTTACCTTTTCCTTAGTATTCACAGAAGTTCTGGGTATCAGTTTCTACTGTGTATTCTTTTTTACTGTGCATATATATTAGTTTGTGACTATATCTAAGTAATTTGGGCTTCTTCGCATATTACTGGAGGATGTATGTTGAGCTTAAGTGATAACTCATCCAAAAACCAGCTACTTATTGCTTATGCAAGTACTCTTGCTGATGTAGGTAATGCTATCTCTGACAGCAAGATCTACTTTGAGTATTGCTGTGGCACCATGGTTGAAATTCATTTGCTTAGTGTTTATTGAGCATCTTTGAATATGCATTTTTTTATTTATTCACTATTTGATTCTAAGATCAATCACATGCCTAATTTTAGAGACATTTTGATGTCATTTGTCATGCTTTCTCTCACAAACGAGCAACATATAGTCTTTGGCTTATTATAATGCTTAGTTCTAGTTGACCTCTCTTTTGCAGTAAAAGTCTTGTAGTGGCATTTTCTTTTCTATTCATTTTATTTACTAAACTAACTGTGTACAACTGAATTCTTTTGCCCATGTATAATCTCTATGTGGTATGTCATGTATATTCATTTTGTTATCAATCTAGTTAGGTTTCAATTTTAAAATTCTTGATCCGTAAAGTATTGAATTTGTCCATTTTATGTTTGAACACTTACATCTCTATACTTAGTCGTTTTATTATTTGCTCAGACTGGCTATCGCAAGAGCACTCTATCACAAATCCTCGATATTGATTTTGGATGAAGCTACTTCTTCTTTGGATAGCAGGTCTGAACAGTTAGTGAGATGAGCACTGGGGCACTTAGTGACTAATCGCACAGTAAGTATAACATGCTATTTGTTTTCTTCAATCCATCGCACAGTAAGTATAACATGATCCTGAGTGAGTATCACTTCCCTCTCCTCTGTTACAAATGAATTTCTGTTTAAGTTTCCAAACAAAGATTGAACTGGCAAATAATCAAAAGGAGAAATTTCTAGTGAAAGAATAGTAGACAACAAATGGTCATGCCTCTATTGTAACCCTCTGTTTATATTTTGCGTCTGATATGTTTTTGGTGGAATGACAATAAAAATTATTGGTACTAACTTTCCATTGAATTGTAAATTAGAAGTATGTAAATGTCAGGGTCATGTCTTCTGATATGTGTACTTGTGCAGAGTGTTGAAGAGGCAGAATGTCGTAGGGCATATGATTCTGCTACTGAGGCATACACTTCATCTTTTGACCGCATGAAGCCATCAGAGGAGGCTCCTACTGTTATATATACATATATCCTTATCTACAATACTTGTGTGTTGATCATTTTTTGAATCATCTCCAGCACTAACAACTTGTATGCAGGCTGTTCTTAGAGAAGCACACGAAGTTGCGGTTCAAAATGCTCACTGGAGTCATTCACTGAAACTTTTGTGGCAAAGATGAAATCATATCCTTAACATTGATGCAGTTACATGTTTTTTTCCTATTATTTAACTTATGCTGATATTAACTCAATTGAGTGACATATATTTCCTGTAGCCTGACTTGACTGCCCCGGGTGTTGACATACTGGCAGCGTGGTCGCCTATAGCACCCATGTCAGAATACAGTGGAGATAAGCGATCAGTAGCTTACAACATAATCTCAGGCACTTCCATGGCTTGCCCTCACGCAAGCGGCTCTGCTGCCTATGTCAAGTCCTTCCATCCAAATTGGTCTCCTGCTGCTATCAAGTCTGCTCTGATGACTACAGGTATGACTCGCATCTTCAGTTCTTGTTATAGATATTCCATCTACGGTTATCCAAAGTAATCTCCTGTATTATGAGGTTGTAGACACTTATCTCAGATTTTCTTGTTTTATTATCATATTTACTGATAGTTAGAGTTAGATATGCGCCGAGAACCTTCCCTTGTGATTTCCGCATGAGTTTAATAGCTATCAGAAAATTAATTCCATTACGGGATCGGGGAGCGTATGTGCTAATACAATAGAGCACGGGTGACGAAAAGCTACCCTCCCATTGTACAGGGGGCGTATCTGCAAATAACTCCCATACTTAGCTAGTTACCAATTTCCTATTTTCTCCTGCAGCTCATCGGATGAATGCAACTTCGAACGAGGAAATGGAGTTTGCATACGGTGCAGGACAAGTAAACCCCGTTGCAGCAGCGAACCCGGGGTTAGTTTACGATGCAGACGAAGCAGATTATGTGAGAATGCTTAACGAGTCATTCACTGAAACTTTTGTGGCAAAGATGAAATCATATCCTTAACATTGATGCAGTTACATGTTTTTTTCCTATTATTTATTTTCAATACCTTTTTTGTTAGTTCCTGAACTTGTCTGGTACAGTCGCTGGTAAAATTGTTGCCATGAAATGTATAGCAGCATACAGAAGTGGTTTGGACATTGATACAAATGTCAGTAAGAAGGCTGCCGAAGAAGGTTTGCTTGAAGATTTACATGGTAGTGCAAAGAAAGACTGTACGAGACACTTGATTGGTGAATACGTCGTATGGTTATGTATTTATTGCTTTTTGAAGTACATGATGCTTATGTTGCAAATTTTATTTTCTACAGCTGGGAAGCGTATGTAATGCACCAAAGTTAGTTTTTGTTGTTCTGTGTACTATGGTTAATTTTTTGTACTCCATGTTGGATTATCCAAAGACTAGTATTTGTTTTTCAGCACATTTGTGTTGACTCTTCTTGTATGCTACAACTTGGTTATGTATCAGTTTGAACCTTTAAATAAAATATTTGCTTTTATGGTTATCATAATTGGAAGTTATTTCTAGTTCAACCTTAAAGGTTTATAGGCACAACTGAACTGCTATAAGAAGTGGAAACAATTGCGGAAATGCTATTAAAAGAAGAAAGACAGCATTCACTGAAACGCCATTGTAGTAACTCAAACGCTATCAAATGTAAGACAATAGCAGCGTTGAAATGCTATGAATGAAAACTAACTAATAGCGTTTTTCAACCGCTATGAAAGATATTTATCATAGCAATATAGAAACGCTATTGAATACTCTTTTATAGCTACATAAAAACGCTATGGTTGGAAACTAACTAATAGCGTTAGCCACAGACCTACTATAGCGGGTTCTGACACAGCGTTGATTAAAACGCTATGAAATAATACCATAGCGTTTTTCGACCGCTATGGTAGACTTCAGGTGTTGTAGTGGTGAAAAGTTCATATTTTGTTCGGCGTCTCTTCCGAGGGAGGCAAATTTAGCGACAGTGATGTGAACGAAGAGGCTAGTGAATGCAAGCAAGAAGTTTGTCTGCTGTTCATTAGACTTCATGACGAGCCATCAAAAAGGAGTTGCATGTTGGAGCGGAAGACGACTACGATGAGGCGAGGAACGAAGGAGTCGTTTCCAGTTGTACATCGATATCAGGTTCCTAGCAAAACCAGGTGATATAGAAAGGATGGAGGAGCTCGCGAGTTTCCTTAGCTAAAGTTCTAACTTGAATGGGACTTAAAGTTCTAACTTGAATGAGACTTCAAGTTCCTAAAGGGGGGACCTATGATACAGGTGTATCTTCTCTTTGGAACTTAGCGATCCTCATGGAAGCTTAAGGATAGATGATTCTTATGGTAACTTGAGAATAGAGGTATAAAATAACACAGTGGAACACAGGTTGAAGCGTGGAACGAGACAATGAATCAAAGAATAGAAGCATCCAGTTTTTAGCTCGTGAGTCGACTTATACATGTATATGAGTCGACTCATCAGGTTGAGTCGACTCATGCATGTCATGAGTCGACTAACGAAATCTAGCCATTTTGTTAGAAGTTTCTAACCAGTCTACTCATGATTGTCATGAGTCGACCCATGTGTCATGAGTCGACTCATATATGCACATAAGTTAACTCATTGATGGTTTCCTGGTTCATTTGGGTTTCTGTTTGCACGAATTCCTATAGGGTTAGGGTTTGGTTATTTATCACTTTGCCATCCACGTTGTTACACCTATATAAGGGATTATTTTAGGGTTTCTAATTAATCATATGTAATAAAAGAGAGATTCTAATCAAGAGAGATTAGGGTTTAGAGAGAATTGAGAGTTTGTTCTCGATTATGTAATAAAAGAGAGATTCTAATCAAGAGAGATTAGGGTTTAGAGAGAATTGAGAGTTTGTTCTCGATTCTAGTGAGGGTTTAGAGAGAATTGAGAGTTTGTTCTCGATTCTAGTGAGATTGTGAGAGAGGGATTGTAATTTTTTATATCATAATCTAGAGAGGGTATTTTTCTTCGTCACATACGGAATTATTCTTGTGTTTCTGTCATCCTTTTCTCAACCCACCTTTGATAATTCCGCGATCAAAGGTATTCACACGGCGACTTGTATCATAAACTTAGTCTTAAACTTTTCTTCATATTGATTCCACCAGTCATTGACTTGAGCGTTGGAGGGAACGCTAGAGGAAACCTTCTCGGGGCCTCTAACATTTATTGCCTGTAAAGAAATCTACCTTTCCCAACTTGATTAGTCATCAGAGGATATTAAGGACCCTAATCTCTCACTAATCTCACTCAATCCGCAGATCAACTTTTTGACATAAACTGTTTGGTGCCCACTATGAGGTCACTTTTTCTTCTCTTGACAAACGGCTGATCCTACCCACCTCTCAAATCTCTAACCTATATACTCTTGGAGAATATTTCAATGTCTACTATATTACTCAAGCCTAGCTAGATGAATCCTTCTAGAAGTTAGCATAGCCACTCTAGCAGTTTGCCTCATTTGCAAATAAACTTCTCCGTTATTTGCCTCTTCTCCAACATACTACACTGTCTGCTACTCCAACAACAAGAGAGCACCTCAACAACAAGGAGAAGAAGAGCGTGTTAAGGAGAACACTCCTCAATCCTTGCACTACCAAGCCTGTTTCGTCACCCACACCCGATAGACTCCTCAGCACCAAGACATAATATGTGAGAGCTCAAGCTGTGATCCTAGTCATGACCCACGGGCATGATACTTGGGGATGAGATACACTTATACATTCTAAACTCTGGCAATTGTGGCCAACTAGACTTCAAGTTGTGATCTGACTTTCAACATGGTGACTGACGTCATTAGAGTGAACACTTCCCTTTCTGACGATATCATGAAAACTCATTGTTCTAAGTTCAAAATGACACATATTGAGAAATTTAGAGGCGAATGCCACTGGGTTGAGGATGCACAAAACTTCTTGATTTGATGTGCATGCAACACGTGACCAACCTGGTCATATGTAAGGCTTTTCCTATCACCCTCAGTGGTAGCACCAAAAATATGGTGGAACTCTCTAGAGAGGAAGTCAATCCATAATTATGGACAACTTTCCTATAAGTTCATCAACTATTTATTAGCAGACACAAAGAAGAATGCAGCCTTTGCCCTTCTATGGCAAATCAAACAGAAAACTAGGCTAGACACTTAGAGAATATTTTAACAGATTCTAGGCCAAGTAACTAGAAGCGGATGACCCTAACAACATGGCAGCTATGGTGAAAATAATCGCAGGTCTGGAAGATGAAGATGTTGGACTAGCTAATGATGAATCATGTGATCGACTTTGACTAGCTCATGGCTAGAGCCCGGTCACATATAGACTGGCGGCTTCCGAAAGCAAAAAGTCTGCCATTGATCGATCCAAGTCAAACTCAAGACCCTGTCAATCTGACATAAGAGATGATAGAAGGAAAAAGAAGAAGAGATGAGCGGAGAGATGCAACGAGGAGACCCAAGTTTGCTGCCCTCAATGCCCCTCTCTCACAAGTATTACACCAAATTTAGTAGGAGGGACATCTCACCAAGTCTCCCCCTCACATGAACTCAGATCCCCATGGAAAGGATGCTAAATAGTACCATCGATACCACCAAGACTATGGGCATGACACTGATGACTATCGATTCCCGTAGAAGAACATCAAGATCTCATCAAGAAAGGGCTATTCAAGAAGTTCATTGTTAGCCACAATAAGGAAGGGACAAACCTAGATATGCCAGAATGAAGGAGATCACGGTCACCTCACCCAAATTAGTAGAAAGTCTAACTGAAGGAAGGCGGTGACAGAGGCACCATCAACACCATCAGTGGTGGCCCAGTCGTTGGAGGGATATCGAACAACTGTTGGAAGTAGCACACTTAGCGAGCCCTCGGGGTGAACCTGTGTAAGAAAAGGCTCATGTCGGATAAATTCATAATCTTCAACAATGCCAACTTGAAAGGCATGATGACACCTCATGATGACTCGATCATCATATCCACCCAAATCAATAGGTTTCAGGTTAAGCCAATTATGGTGGTCATGGGCAGCTCTGTCGATGTCCTATTCATGGACTCCTTCAACCAAATAAAAATTGACAGATGTAAGCTACAACCATGTCTAAGCCTCTTGGTAGACTTCTCGGGTCATTTAATTCGACTAGAAGGAGTGATCACTTTACCAATTGTGAATTTCCCTGCCAATCTAAAGGCCGAGTCCAGTTCATTGTGACAAACATCAAGTTGACCTACGACATTATCCTTCAGAAAACTTCCTTCAATAAGCTCCAAGCGATCCCCTCCACTTACCATCAGATGATAAAGTTCCTGACCCCAGAAGGGGTCGACATTGCATGGAGCGATCAACATGAAGCCAGTTCATACTACATGCTCTTTGTGAAGGGCAAGAGAATCTAAAAAATCCTTCCAATTGAGAAGTCTCAAGCTAACCTACAAATAAATGAATAAAGGGAGCGAACTACCTCTATCAAAGAGCTACACAAAATCATGCTCGATGTCGATGACACCAAGAAGGTGCTAATTGGATCGAAACTACCCGAACTATAGAGTGAGACACTCATCAAGTTCCTATGCACAAATGCAGACATTTTTTATTAGAGACCTAAGGACATGCCCGGATTAGACTCGGATATGATGCATCGATCAATACTACAAACCTAGCTAACAAAATAAAAGTCATCTTAAGCTAGAAAGCAGCAGGTGGTAGCAAAAAAGGTTGATTGACTGCTAAAAGAAGGATATATTTTAGAGGTCCAGTACTTGGAGTGGTTGCGAATGTATTGCTGGTAAAAAAAAGCCAACAACAAGGGGAGAATGTGCGTCGATTTTACTAAGCTTAACAAAGCTTTTCCTAAGGATAGTTTTCCCCTCCCTCGGATCAACAAACTCATCAATGGAAGTGTTGGGTCCTTTTGTTTTGATGATAATTTATAAACAATTTACATCTAATGTTGTTTGTCTAGTGTTCGTGTTTTGTATTTATTCTAGGCAAATAATATGTTGGAGGATGGATGTAATTGAGCCTCAACGATCATATCCAATGGAGGTTGTTGGAATAGTAGAGTGAAGTATTGCAATTCAAGTTAAAGATCCAAGTTTAAGGTTCATCCGCAAGTTTACCAAGATAGAGCTTCGTTGAAGATCACAAGCTTGAGTATATTTAGTTTAAGTTTTTATATTATGTGTGTTAGTACTTTAAGCTCAACCACATACCCACATACACACACATACAAGTTTTGGTTATATATATATATCATTGCCGGAAATAATACCCAGGTGCGATTTGAAATAAATCAAATACTGAGTGGGGGAACCCTTCCCATTAAACGGCGTAAAATTAATCAGACTGAACTTCGCCGGATAGGGGATTGATTCCCATTCTCGTGGGTATGGACAAGAAATGCCCGTCTTCTTCACCTCTTGAGCGGAGATTAATGTGTTG